CAGAGATCTCTAAGAATATCGACAACTTTGAAGCCGGGAAAAATAAGTCCAAGATGGAGAAATCCCTAGATAAAGCTGGTCCACTCATCAGTAAGTACATCCTGTTCTACCTCATGGACAGAGTCTGAAAGGTCGAAGCTGGAGCTGTGGCTGCTGGTACGGAAACCACAGGAATGACCGGCATGGTGAAGAACATCATCGCCAATGAAACAGTCCAGACAACAGCGAAAGCGGTTGCCAGCTCAATACCAGTTGCCATGGGCATTCTAGAGAAGCTAAGCAAGACTCATGCTTTCCTCGCCCGTAAGATCTTTACTCTTGGTTGCAGTCATGTATGCTAATGGGATTAGTTGCTTTTATACCCTTCCAGGCCATCTACAACCAGTTGGTTCTTGTTGAAATACCAGTGGAATAAAGCTTTATTTGCGTTTTCAGGGAACAAAAGAAACAAGAAAATGATACGAAACGGCACATTCTTTATCTAAAGATTCGAGATGTGATGTTTCTCTTCCTAGAGTGCGTAATTTTCTTCTAGTTATCATCAAGCTGAATAGTTATTGTCTCAGACTCCAAGGTACGAAACCGGAGAGTCGTGTCGACGCGGATGGTCAACCAATCATGGGCCGCTTGGAGACCGTTTGTACGACAATGAGGGCGGATATTTTGGAGTGTCACAGTGGTACATCTCTCGATCAACGTGTCACTTGTCCAACTCAACAATTCTCCGTAGTCTTATACGCTCAAGAGACACAGTCCTGGGTTAACAAATTCCTGCATGCATCGAGGTGGAACGAAAAGCTCAAGGGGTTTTTGGACAAATTTGAAGAAACAAAGCGTGACGTCGGGCTTGCGCTGAGCGTGCATGCAGCAAAAGGAATTGATCAGTAAGTACTCTCTCGACCATGCGCGGGACTTGTTCAAATTCATTTTAACAGTGTCAGCGAGTAAGAATCTATCGGGCAGATCGCTGCTACAGTTGCTGATAGATTTAAGGTCATTGGAACAACTAGCCGCCAAGCTGACGGGTCCGACGCCGCAAGATCGTATCTTCATGTCGGCATTGAATATGAAGACGCTTCCGGATGACACGACGAGAGCACAAGTGATAGGAGACGACATAAAGTGCCAGAATCTACTTGAATTGCAGAAGGCCAAAATGTCGAATCGACAGACTTCTGGGAATCCTGATTATGTCGACCCCAAAGACGAATTGAAGGCCCTCAGGAGAGACTTCCATCAAGACATCAATATCATCGTTAAGCAGAATCTCGATAAATTCACCCAGCGTTTCACTATCGAGATGGATCGACTTCGGGACAATCTCGACAACTCGATAAAGAATCAAGGTGACCGAATCATCGATTTTATGGGAGGCCCTTTGAAAAGACTGGAGGATAAGGTGAGCCCTATCATTATGCCACTTCGAATCTTTCGTATCCTGTTGAACTTTGTTTCAGATAATATACCATGTGTGGAAAGATCAAGTTCGTCAAACGATTATTGTATTAATGGGACATATTAATGGTTTCTCAGGGATGGAAAGGTAGCGCGAAGACTCGTTCTCTTGTTCTATCACTTCGGGACTACTTCGTGGAAAGGTTCGAGCGCAATCGCGGTGCTATGGTTGAGTCTCAAGTGCATCTGACACAACCTGGCGCCAAAGAGGACGATCCAGACGATACCGAAAGGATCGTGGGACAACCTCTCGAAGATGATTGGATAATCCCATATCTTGATGCAAAAGGGCTGATATATTTGCAGTGTGAGTCCTTGATTTCCTGAGAGTCTGTACTTAATATGCTCAGAGCCTTTATAGCATTATTTGATCCCAATCTATCTGGTTTCGCTACCATTTCCGAGGTCAATTCTTTCACAGGAAGCAAACCACAAGATTGGAGGTGAGCCTCGGGCATTCAATTGGTTGGTACATCTTAACCTTCTCCAGTCTTCCTAAATGGGTAGTTTACTGGACCACGGCGTGGCCTATGTTTGCTTCCAGATATTGCAAAGAGATCGAGGATATAATCCAACAGATGTTCGTACTTCGCCACAAGATAACCAGGCAAATGGGTGGAAATAAGTCCTACGTCGATCATTACCTCTTAGAAATTTGGCCTTCCGTCAACGCCCTGACTGATGCCCTCGACAGGGTAGACATGGACAATTCTATCTTTGAGCATTATCAGGAATATGTCCTCCAAGAGGAACAGAAACTTGGTGTTCGGCTGGATCGTATCAAATATGACATCGACTTTTCCGAGACAGTCGATGTCATCATTGGAGATCAACGCCTTGAAACAGTAAGTTCAAGTTGTAGCATTGTTTCAGAACTTCTAACGCAACATGGCAGGTGGTCCTACCATTGTTGACACTGCTCATGAGACGCCATCTGTTGAAGTTCCATCTCTGTCTGAGACAAAATATCGAGGAACAAGAACTGGATGATGATTCCGACACGGTTACATGGGTCACTAATGCAGCGTGGGTTCGGTTTGAGTCTTTACGCGGTGAGTCTCCCATACATCAGTTGATTGTTACTTGACCGAATCACATAGGCAACTTCGCACTGGACCAACCCGCGCTCCAAGAAAAGACATTTGATTGGTTCTCAGCCGGTCTCGTTGAGTGAACTAATTGATCATGAAGAAGGTTCGCTGATCAAGCGAGTTTATAGTTCAGAAACTATTTCAAGTGGGATAATTGGGAAAATCCTGGCTGGATGAAGGAACAATCAGATTCTGTCTCCAAATTCGATTCAAGAGGTGTTGATATACGACAAGTTAAACTTAAAAAGGTCAAAGACTCTGACTTTCGTCACATCTTGAATTATCCAAAGCAATCTGTCTCTGTGGATCTACCATCGCCGGAAAAATTCAAGTGCGTTTGCCTCCTTTTACATATCATTCAGTTCTGATTTTGTGGCCTCACAGACCAAGCGAGCCTTTTTCTGACGCAATGTTCGCGCATGAGAGCTTGAACTAAAAGTGGTGCTGACATGAAATCTTAGCTCTGGTCTCTGGTACGGGTTTGAACATGTCAATGGACTGTCATCTTCGCCCATGATATGCCTCAAGCTGAGGGCCACCGACAACAAAACCGAAGACCAGAAGGGGCTATCAAAGATAGTCTTTGATGGTCTCTACGATGATTCGACAATCGATGGATCCATCGACGTTGAAGGGTCCAATTTCAAGATCGAATTCAACCGTATTACCGAAAACGGGGAGAATCTCACATACATTGGCGACATTTCGGTAGAAAAGGGTATTCTATCCGGAACCTATATCGAAGGTGCAACCACATACTCGTTCTTCTTGAAACGATTATTGGATCCCAGTGCCATGTGCTTCCGTCCTCTCAAGTCTACACTGAACGCAAAAGAGCTATGGACATTCGCCTGCCAAAGTGTTCTTAATTCCGTTCAGAGACGCCAGGTCAAGGTATCCCCAGAGCGTTTTGCCAGCATCAGACGCCGAGTGGAGCTCCGTCATATAGACACGCCGTCAGAGGAAGAAAGAGCAGAGACACACCGTCTGCAACGTATATTCACTCCTCCAGAATATAAAGAGATTATTGGGCTGGCAGTTTGGTGGTATAATGCTTGGAATGTGAATTCTTACATGTGGTAAGCTATTTTGATGCTCATACATAAATACAGTTTCACGAACAGATTTTCCAGTTGCGCGGTTTGCAAAGACACGATCTTTAGATCACGGGCAGCATGTTTGGACTGCCCAGATGATGATATCCTATGTCAAAAGCCAGAATGTATCGACGCTCTTCACGAGAATCATGAAGACAATCATGTCATTGTCAAGCGACGCGATCCTATCTGGAACAAGGACTACCCGGCACTCCGATATCGAGCACAGCATTGTCAGCAAAAAGCAATCAGTCTCTATCGTGGTCATGGTCCCGAGGACGCTGCAGAAGGGAGCAAAGCAGATGGCCATGAAAAAGAGCCATCATTGACCAATGGTCAGCAGCCAACCCTAGCTCAGATTGACAGACAGCCAGTATTCAACAAGATTAAAAAAGCAGAAGTGGAAGAGGCAGTGGACAACAATGAGGAAGAAGAAGAGGGAGAAGAGGAGGAGGGAGATGATGAAGATGAAGATGTTGACAATGACGAAAGTTATCAGTCGTCGGTATCATCCTGCGAATCCGGTACCTCGGAGGATGCTGCCAGATTAAACTGCAGAGTCTGCAGCAAGCGCATTGCGGCCCCTTGCTGGGCCTGCCTCGAATGTCCCGGGGGTGCTTTCGTTTGTGACAACTGCGAAAAGGTCATCGACGAGATGCCTGCCTGGAAACTCCAGGCCCGATATCACCAGGAGACTCCAGATTCCAAGAAAGCCGACCAACCCACCTCTGATGACGAGCCGCTGCCACAACATAACGTCCGACACTTTTTGGTCAGAATCACTGTCAATTCAGTTACTAGCAAGGCTTTGACAGAGGCAGAGCAGCGGAAAATGATGGATGAGATCGCAAATCAGAGGTTCGCAGCCATCCAAGAGAAGTTTTCTGCTATCGAGGGCCGGTTTGGTGACTTGGAAGAGCGTATGAGCGTCGGGATGCAGAGGCTAGAAGCACTACTTCACCAGATTATTGCATCAGAGCCAAATGTTTGAATATTTATAAATATTGTCATGGAAATCTCGAATACATGTCTTTGTTTGAAACTCAAAACAGTAAGGCTAAATCTACGTGACTATCACGTGCTGGGAATCACTCGTGGATCACTGTGTTGATCCGTCTCAGCCCGGCAATGTGTGTCCTCTCTGGCTTATTCCTGCGTAGCTATGAGCGAAATCTTCAAGAGGAATGTATTACAGCCGAGGTCGAAGGGGCAGCCCATGATAATGTCCCACCGGAGACCCTGGTCACGGTCAGATGGCCGAGTGGTCTAAGGCGCCAGAATCGTTTCGATGCGCCAATAACTGGAGTTAAGCCGGTTATCTGGTCTCTCGTACCTTCCGAAGTCAGTAGATATATATGGTCAGATGGCCGAGCGGTCTAAGGCGCCAGACTAAGGTGTCAAATCGTGAAGGATGCCAACTAATCTGGTCTCTTCGGGGGCGTGAGTTCAAATCTCACTCTGATCATTTTTCTCGACGATTCCCCAGTCGATCATGGAGCTAGTACTCGGAATAATATTATGTGCTATCCAGATGTTCAGGATTTGCATGTACACATAGGTGATAAGCGATGAGGGAAGCTCCTGGAAGGTGGCGTTCTATGCTAGACATGTTGATCCATGTGTCCACTTTTTGATACCAGTTTGATTCTCAAGGTCTATGTACACTCACTCTACTTTGGTGCTACTGGGTATCCGAAACATCAGCATCTTTCATCTCTCACTACAGAGATGTGGCTCTCCTGTTAACACGGTGAATATAATAGCTTCCTCCATTATTTGTCCAGGAAACATCGCCACGAATATAACAAAAGAGCTTTTCTCATGCCAATATACAATGTCGAGTCTTATAGATTTTACAGTGTACAGTACCATTCGAAGGTCAATCTCCCTATGCACAGGCATCAAACAAACTACTTCATTATCAACGACAACCCAGACATTACAACAAGTAATTAATGAACGTAATAGTACGATACCAGTTCACTACTTCTTGTTCCGCACGATATCCGCAATACCCTTTCCGACGCCAAGTATGGGTTTGGCGATGTCACCAAAAATGTCGAAGATGCCCCGAGCTTCAGGATGAACGAACTCGGTCTCTCGCGCCACCAATGATTCGTCGTCTCGGGCGTCGAGCTCTTCGCCGCCTTCGTCTCTCACGAAAATAACATCCTCTTTCTCTCTAGCAACGATCTCCTCGTCTCTGGCGAAGAGTGGGACGGCGATATCACGGGGTCCCACCGTGCTCGCTTTTGCTTTACGGTAGAGAGAATTGTCAGCGTGGATCCTGTAAAAACAATGAGAAAGCTCATCTAGATGATCATGACCGTTTCGGAAACATACACGGGAACCGAAAGAACAGAGGTCATGCTGAGCGCAACGACGGCGACGGAAATGATATTAATTTGAACCATTATGATGGCTTTCAAGTAGGAGTTGAAGGATTAAAGAAGGAAGAAGGACGAGGTGAGAGTACAAGTGACCGTGCACTAGATAAGGATGAGACCAGCTGAGGTTTTATGGAGCCTTTTCGAAGGGTTTATATAGGAATCTGTTTGCTGCGCAGCGCTCAATTACCACAGCGTGCAGTACTTGGGCGCTACCCTTGAAGGCCGCTCCTGTCACTGTTGCATACAACTTAACCGGTAGCCAGGACCTGCCGCATACATACTATGTACTGAAAACCGGAATTATCTGAAAATCTGAGCAACCAAGATGTATTCATTGATCGGACGAGATTCGAGTGCATTGTACTTCGAGTATGACAATGTCTCAATCTATTTGCTAACAAAGTTGAATTTCAGCGCTCACTGAAGGCTATGTCCCAGTACATATATATGTAAGAATCCTGAGTGAATGCTTGAGCCTGTCGGGCTCCAATATAAACAATGAGTACTCGTGATGCGCCCATCCAGATTTTACTGTACTTGAAGTTTCATGATCATAGTCGGTTGTGCCGAATACTCTACGCTGTCTACGGGATCTGAGTCTGAGTTTGTCTACTGTCATGACAAATGTGTGCTGCTCAGAATAACGTTAAGTTCGAGAGCCTAAAAATAAAATAAAACTGGACGTAGATAAGATAATCAGCCGGCCCGGCCCGCCGAAGATCAAATTCGGTCAAGGAGCGGCCGAATCATTTACTCGGGTCCTTCTCGGGACCAACCTCGATGGACGCCGGTCAAAAAGGGAGCCAGAGGTCGCTCAAAAGGCGTAATGGACGGCTACTCTTCACATTCTCTGCTCTACTGCTGATTGCTGCCTGTAATCTGTGGATATTCTTCCCCAATGACCACCATCGCAGAGCCGAGAATCTTCCAAGCAACTGGGCCCAAATTCTCTCCAAATGCAGCGCAATGGAAATGAAACCAGCACCTTCAGCCTCCTTCTATTCACGCTCCACGTCTGACCGGTTCCAACCTGGGACAAAACCAGTCTTGCTGCGAAACGCAACCATTTGGACTGGACGCGTTGACGGTTTCGAGGTCATCAAGGGCGAAATCCTGATGGATGGTGGAATAATAAAGGCGGTTGGACGTGTCGACAAGGCTCTGTTGCCTGCTGACGTGTCAATCGTCGATGTCAAGGTCAGTCCTCGAATGTCCCACAGAACTGCTGCTAATCTTTGTCAACTTTTAGGGCGCCTGGGTCTCCCCTGGGTAAGCTGTTTCTTATTTTATCCATCGCTATGGCTGAGGAAACGCAGAATTGTGGACTTGCATTCTCATTTAGGTGTCGGTGCTTTCCCAGCGCTGAACGGCGCAAACGACGTGAATTCGTTTCATGGACCAGTTTTACCATGGCTGCGCGTTGTAGACGGGTTGAATACACATGACGATGCTTATCGGTTAGCCGTTGCAGGCGGGGTCACGACTTCGCTCATTCTTCCTGGGTCAGCCAATGCTATTGGTAATGCACACGAAAAGTCGGTTGTTTGAGAATCTCAATACTTTCTAGCTGGACAAGGATTCGCAATAAAGCTACGCCCGACGAAAGAAAGATCTACGTTTTCTCTCCTGCTGGAGCCTCCGTTTGGCACCAATGGTTCGGACGTAGAATCGGCGCCCCCTCGCTGGCGTCACATGAAGTAAGGCGAATTAGCTGCGAAAGAAGATCTCTGATTCCTTTTACAGGCATGCATGCGGTTAGACGTCCTTCTCATCGTTTCCGACGTAAACTTACTTTTGCTCTCGTCAAGGGGAGAACCCTGGTAAGCTTACACCTTTATTCATCATCTTTCCTGAACTCTTTCCAGTTGGCGTATACTCTTTTACTCGAATGGACACAGTCTGGTCGATGCGTCAAGCGTAGGTCCTTATATCCTTGACAAGGTTCCAGTCAAACCTTTTGCCAGATACGACAAAGCCCGACAAATCAAAACGTCGCAGGACAATTTCTGTACTAAAGCTCGCGCTGGTGCATGGAACAACATTGGCAAGTTTCCTGAAGACTTCCAATGGGAGCCGCTCGTCGACACTCTTCGCGGAAAAGTCAAAGTGCAAACCCATTGCTACGAGGCTGTCGATATCGACAGGTTCATTGCTGTACGTGGTCCCTCGTCGTCAATGCCTCGTCATATTCATCTTTGGGCCAGCTCTCCAACGAGTTCCAGTTCTCTGTGGCAGCGTTTCATCATGCCCATGAAGCATATCTTGTCCCCGAGGTCCTGAAACGAGGATATGGTATCGTTGTCCTCCCTTTGTTCCATTCCGACCTCATTCGAAGCTGTTAGAACATCCACCCGCTGCGGCCATGTTTGCCACTTTCTCAAGGTGAGCTATCCTGGTCCATTCGTTTCATCTCTAAACGAAAGCTAGATACAAACGAGAGGCATATCGACATTCTGAATATGCGCCTCGGGTTCTCGCAGACGCTGGAATCAAAGTCGTGATGAAGAGCGACCATCCAGGTATTGTTTCGCGATATCTGCTGCACGAAGCTCAGCAAGCGCATCATTATGGTCTTCCCGGGCACCTTGCATTGGCATCTGTCACGACAACCCCGGCTGAAGTCATGGGTCTAGACCATCGTATTGGGTTCATTTCAAAAGGCAAGTCTGCTGAAAGTATCGATTTCAACGTTCTAATAGTTCTCAGGCTACGATGCTGGTGAGCAATGATCTTGAATCCGATAGTGCTCCTGCCTAAGAGTTTATAGATGTAGTCGTATGGGATTCTCATCCATTAGCGCTTGGAGCTACCCCAAAACAGGTCTTTATCGACGGGATACCCCAAATCGATAGCCCTGTTGTCTCGGCCAAACCAATGACGTCACAAAAAGCACCCATTCCTCCGAACTTTGACAAAGAGACAAAGGATACTTTGACCCATGTTGGTCTTCCCCCGCTTCAAGTTCCGAAAAGCACATCCGGGACAGTTATCTTCCACAATGTCTCTGGTGTCTGGATCCGAGATGCATGGGGCGCTCGAGAAGTCTCTACGGGTTCGCGATCCGTCGTCGTCCAAGATGGCAATATTGTCTGTCTCGACTCTTGTCTTTCGGCGCAAGACGCTGATATCGAAATGGACCTGGAAGGAGGATGGATCATGCCGGCTTTGGTCAGCTTTGGATCACAACTTGGCTTAGTAGAGATCCAAGCTGAACGGTCTACAAATGATGGCGGAGTGACAGATCCCGCTATTCTTAATGGAACCGTGATACGAGCGGTAGATGGTCTGCAATTTACAGGTCGAGACAGCTTGTATGTTTCATTTCCACCGCTGACAATACTTATGCTGAAATCATCTCCACTAGACTGGCCTACCGGTCCGGAATTGCTTCCGGAATCACTGCGCCAACAAGCAGCCGGTTCCTGGCGGGATTAAGCACGTATTTCTCGCTTGGCGCGAATCACAGACTGGAAAAAGGCGCTGTCATTCAGGACATTGTGGCGCTACATGTCCATGTTGGCTTTGGTGAAATCACTAGCGTCAGCACGCAAATTGGGACCTTGCGGCATCTCCTTCTCCATGATGTACCAGGGGATGTCGGCATCCAATTCTCTCGAGTTGCAGCAGTACGGCTCAATGTTTCCCTCAGGAACCCGCTGATATTCTTTCATTAGGGGACGACTCCACTCGTCGTCACTGCGAATAGCGCTGATGTGATCGCAACGCTTTTGTCGCTCAAAAAGGAGGTGGAGCGGGAGACAAAGACTAAATTGACTATGACGATTGTCGGAGGAGCTGAAGCGCACCTCCTGGCGGATGACCTTGCAGCAGCGTCCGTTGGGGTCATTTTGTTACCACCACGGTCTGTTCCATACAATTGGGACAGCAGAAGAATGTACGTGAAGCCATCATATCTTTCAGCTTTCAATCTTTTAATGTTAATGATTGATAGAATGCCAGGGCCGCCCTTGTCCGAAAGCGGGATCGCTTTGCTTCTTGCCAAGAATGTCACCGTTGGACTGGGGCCTCAAGGGATCATGGGCATGCCTGACATCAGTGGATGGGCTGCTCGTAA